TATACAGTGAAAGACAGTGTATTTTTGACTTCTCCCAGTTAAATGGCTCATTTCATATAATAACTAAACCCTAAATCTGGGTTAAGAAAACACCATTGAGGTGTTTTTATAACATACAATGGCCAAAATAAGTATATTATGGCTTAATATGATGTCTGGATTCCCACAAAATATTCAGTTCTGTTTTGTTCCTTGTTTAGCATGTGCAAATTGACTACATTTGTAAAGCATATAGAGAGCCAGTGTGGTATAGTAGTTGAGGTATTGAACTAGGAGCTGTAAGATCCAGGGTCTAATCCATCCTCAGCCATGGAAGTTCACAGAGTGACTTTGGGCTGCTCCATCTCTCTCAGCCCAGCCTACCTTACAAAGTTGGTCTTCTGTGGAAAATAGTAGGAAGGAGTGCTTGGTGTGCTGCTTTTTGCTCCTGAATGAAAGGAAGGGTATAAAAGTCATGAATGAATAAATAAGAATTTCTCAGAAATTCTGTTCTCCTTTGAAAAAATTTCAAAGGAAACTCTCTTTCATCAGACTAAATGAGAACTAATAAAAAAATATGTGGGCTAAATTCTCGGCTCAGCACTAGTATGAAGCCAGTCAAAACCTCCATTCAGTATGCAGTTATACAATATAGTAGGCTTTCCCCCATACCGAAGAAGGGAAAATGTATGTTTTATCAGGCATTTGAATAAATACATTTTTTATTGATAATTTATTGATTGACATAAGAAAGGATCTTGAGAATGACACACACACAAACAGACTGGGCATAAAGCCCGTCCTGGGAATGAAATATTTGGGGAATTATTCTCAAGAAATGATGTAAAACAAATTGTACTATTTGCTGGACTAAGAGCATTTCCACAGAAGCACCTGGTGCTAGTTCAAAAGCATCTTTAGACTGCCTGTGTTCAAGAGCTGGGCCATTTTATTTCTGGCAGAGCTGTGGTATAGTATTTGAACCCATTGTAAAAACTTTATTTTTAATGCTGTGGCTGTGTGGAACTGGTGAATGGTCTGTTTCCCCAAATGCAGGCAGGTCTGCTAAATCCTGGGAAAAGGAAGCTTGGCATCTTTGCAGATCCTCCATTGCAGAAGTCACTGGGAATCTTTTGAATAGAACCATTGAGACAACATAATGTAATGTTGTGTGTAAGACTTTTTAAAATTCTCCTTCCTTATAAGGAGGGGGATGATGTGATTTGTGTTACTGCAAGACTTGTGGCAGCTTAGGGCAGATGGTGAGTTTCGTTGCTTCTCTTCAGCATTGCTAGGTTGGCAAGGTTGAAGATGACTGGTGTGTCATTGAAGGGCTTTTGAAAGATTTGGAAGTAGTGGTAGTGGTACTGAAATGTCCTTAGAAAATTAGTTAAACAAAAAGCAAAATTTTAAAAGTACTTTTTTAACCATGAAACTTTTCATGCGGATAGAAAGTACTGGGAAACAGTACTGTGGTTTCTTTATCCTTCCTGAGAAAGATGAAGAACAGGCTTCTAAAAATGTTTCATAATATGTAATCTTCATTAAATTAACATATTTTGGGATATTAACAAAAGCTTTCTCTTACCCATGTAATGTCTCCATCTATCCTTATCTTTCTCTCTTTTGGAATCTGAGATATCATGCTTCTGAGGTAAAAGGTTTTTTTCCTCTCCTTGGTTCGTCATTAAGCACATACACACAAAACAAAAGGCTCTTTCATTTGCACCACCTACATCCTCCCAAATAAATGTATTTTCTTCCCAGCTTGCAATTAAACATAGGATGAGGGGGAATTAGCAGCCATCTTTTCCTTTTCTTTCCAAATAGATCAACCACAGCCTTCCTCAAACTTAGTGCCCACCGGATGAGCGAGCTTCAGCTCCCAGCAACACCGCCCAGAATCACTTTTTGTGAGATGGGCGGCTATATAAATATGATCAATGAATCAATAAAATTAAATAGCCCCCACTGGATGGGGCCCAGCACATCTTGCCATAGTCATTTCCTTTATTTTACATATATGCTTTTAAAAACATAGATGCAAAGTTAGGGTGTTTGTGAATCTGATGGGATTTTGGACTTTTTCAGGCTAAATTAAAGTAACTTTCACTGTCTTATCCTAAATATATACATATAGTTTTCCTTTTTCCTCTTTTCTTGCTCTTATAATAATCTGAGGACTATTAAACATCAATGCGCATATTCTAAAAATGTTACTTTCTGTTATTACCATCTAAACCTCAATTATATGAAAAGGCTGCCATAACATTAACAAAAGTTATTCTGATAAATTATTTATTTCATACAGTTTACTTTTCTCAAGCATATTTCTTACTGTCTATTAAATTTAAATACTGCACCCATTTAACTGAGTATACAGTAACATTTTTGAGGAGTTGTTTATAACACTGCATTTGGTAATCTTTTTAAATTTCTGTGCCTGATTTTCCATAATGCATCTTTGCAAATTAAAAGAGAATTCATGGTAGAATGATGACATTTCGACTCAACAGCAAAACTGTCCCCATTATAACCTGATCTCTTCTTTGGACAGTTAGCATTAAGTGTGTGTGTGTGTGTGTGTGTGCATGTGTGTGTATGTGTGTACGTGTGTGTATGTGTGTACGTGTGTGTCTGTGTATGTATGTATGTGTATGTGTATATATACACATACACATACATATATACACATACAGAGAGAGTTAAAAAATCTCCTCTCACCCCTGTGAGTGGTACGTGTCTTCCTCAATCTCGGGTCCTCTACCAGAGGCCTGGGAGTTTGAGGGCTCTGCGCAGTGTCTTCACTGTTCCCAGCACTGCACTCTTCTGGACAGAGAGCCCTGATGTTGTTCCTGGGATCTGTTGGTGCCACTCTCCCAGCTCAGGAGTCACAGCCCCGAGCACTCCTACCACCACTGGGACCACTTTGGCTTTTACTTTCCACAACCTCTCTAGTTCCTCCTTCAGGCCCTGGTACTTCTCCAGCTTCTCATACTTATTCTTCTTGATGTTGCTGTCACTTGGCACCGCTACTTCTATCACCATTGCTGTTTTCTGTTGTGTGTCCGTGTGTGTGTGTGTTCTTCCTAGTGTTTTTTCCACAGGTGCAGGGTCCGCTTTTTTTGGTTCAACCGAATGTTGATCCATTGGTTGTGACAGGAATTGACCAACCGGTTTGTGACCCGAGCTTGACGTCATGGGCTGAGAGAGAGTAATTGGCCCAAAGTCACCCAGCCGGCTTTCATACCTAAGGCAGGACTAGAAGTCACAGTGTCCTGCTTTCTAGCCTGGAGCTTTAACCACTAGACAAACTGGTGCTCTCTCTCTCCCTCCCTCTCTCCCTCCCTCCCTCTCTCTCTATATGTCTGAAATCCTGAAAAAAGATAATAGATAGATAGATAGATAGATAGATAGATAGATAGATAGATAGATAGATAG